TCCATAACCTTCTGAAACAAACAATGATTCAATATCTCATATATCCATGTTATATACATAATATATGATTTGATCCACCTACCTTTGTTCCATTCTTCCTCAGAGAAAAATCATCATCAACATAATAATACATTATGATGATTTTTGTTTTCTTCTAATTCAGTTGTAAGTTCTCTTCTTGTTATCATTTGTGATTTCTGAACCCTGGACATACTATCTGATGCTCTATTTACTGAAAGTTCAAGACTGCATACAATCTTTTATAGATTCGGAAGAAGCCAAAATATCTTTGATTTGAACATTTCTGCTCTGATGATAACATCAAAGTTTATGTTCTCAATAACCTTCTGAAATAAATAATGTATTAATATTTCATGTCCAGTACCTACCTATAGTATCAATGCTTTGATTCAGATACCTACCTTCATTGAATCTACTGAGAGTTCAAGCCTGCATACAATCTTTTATAGATTCCGAAGGGGCCAAAATTTCTTGGAATGAAACATCTCATCTGCTCTGATAATATGATATCAAGTTTGTGTTCTCAATAACTTCCTGAAACAAATAATGTATTGATATTTCATGTCCAGTAGGTATACCTTCTATCAATAGGATTTGATTCCTACCTATAGTACTTACCTTTATTGTATCTATACTTAAAGTTAAAGCCTGCATACAATCTTTAATAGATTCCAAAGAAGCCAAAATATGTTGGAATATCAAGCATCTCTGATCTGGATGATATAATGATCAAGTTTGTGTTCTCATCAATAACCTCCTGGAACAAATAATAATGTATTAATATTTCATGTCCACTACCTATTATCAATGAGTTGATTCAGGTAGGTAGCTATCTTTATTGAATCCACTGAAAGTTCAAGCCTTCATACAATGTTTGATAGATTCAGTAGAAGCCAAAATATCTTGGAATGAAACATCTCTGCTCTGATGATATCATCAAGTTTGTGTTCTCAATAACCTCCTGAAATAAAATAATATATTTAATATTTTATGTATTGTACCTACTATCAATGATTTGATTTATTAATTACCTGTATTTCTTATTATCTCATCAATTTCTCAGAGAAATATTATCATGGGACATAACATAACCTCACTTCTAGTACTTCTAGTTCTCTTCTTCTTCTTCCCTTTGGCTTCGTCGACACGTTTTTTCATGGAATGTCATCTGAAGACATCCGTAGGCACGAAATCCGCTGCAGCCTCAGGCTGTCACTGAAAGAACTTTTCTAGGACAATTACGGCGCTAAATCTATGCCTGATGATGTTCTTAGGTTGTAGAGAACTTAAAGTCCTCTCTAGGCGTTTGGCGACACATTGAGGATGACCCTAGGCGATTGTGTGCTATCTGGGATATTAAGGGACAGTTCCATGCATCCGAATTATATTCATCCCCTGATTCATCCCAAGTAAAAATAACAGCATCCGGAATCTGTCGTAACTATAGTAATATTCTTCCAATCTGAAGTAACTGAAATATTTCACTAGAACTGAACTGAATCGTTCTTTGAAATAACGTTCATTATGTACTGTTCAGTTTCCGCTCATCTATTCAGTTTAGTTCAATAGTTTCATTAGTCAGCATTTGAATTATAAAATTCTGTTCATACCCTTTTGCACGCCTATGCCTTTTCGCGAAGAGTCTGTGATTTCTATGCCCACCGGCAGAGCATGAGCAGAAAGTGAAGAAAAGGACACTCTGAAAAGCAGCTCGCTCGGAAAAAGTCTCGTGCTCGCCCTAGACATCTTTCTCTGTCTTTTATATTAGATATATCGCGTTTTCCTCGATTGCAGCGGCTGGTCGCGTAATCACGAGTGCTTACGCAACCTATCAAGGCCACCAGTGCTTCAGCCATCTGCAGGATTAGTTACAAGGTAAGAAATCACAGCCATTATCTTATTCTTGCTCTCGCTCTCTCTCTCACCTAGTTTGAATCGCATGTTACACTTCGAGTAATCAAGATCAATTTAATATCGGCAAATATATACAAGATCCAACTACTCGAAACGAGACAATCTCGTACATGTACAATGCATGTAAACTGATTTAGTTCAGTTCAAGTGAAATGTGTAAGTTAGTTCAGAATGAGAGAATATCACTTCTGTAACATGACAAAGACGATTATAGTTTATTTACTGTTAATTTGTTCATGATTGGTACTGAGCACTTCTTGTAATATAATATGACTTATCGCCAACTAGATACTCTTTTATGTACCAAGGAAGGCACACTGTCGATTATAGTCAAGTCTGCAAAATGATAGCCACCCAGGCAACCAGGTGACGAATGATCACGTCACAGTGACGTCCCTTATTGGTGATTTTTCGTCAGAGACGTCACACACCAATTTATGACGTCACTATGACGTACTTTCCATGACGTGATAATAATGTCATCGTTTCGACGTCGAGTGAACGTCACTTAGATGGGTAAAAGGAGACGTCAGTTTCATGACGTTGCAGGGACGTCCTGTCGACGTCCATTTTTCCCAGACCTTCTCTAAACCATGGATACTTATATATTATCATGTGAAACAGAAGTATAACTCATGGAAGCGAATCAACATGCAAGTTTTATTATAATTACTAATTTACCTGAAAAGTAGTAGAAAAGCTTTTTTCTAAAAAACGTTGACACACTGTATATCTCGGAAACCAACAAGCTATGTATATATGATAATGATTGTTTAGCTATACCTATATTGAAACCGTTACTCTTATGACGTTGCAGTGACGTATTTATGACGTCTTAAAATCACGTCGGTGTGACGTACCAATTTGGTGAGCTTCATCATTTAGAAAATTCTTCAATAATCTACTATTTAGATTTTTGTTGGGTGACAATAAAGAATGCATCAATATACATTATTCAACAAGGTGAAGCCAAATTCGCAAACATCCTTTCCATTGCATCAAACTATTCTTTGTTTGCTTACATCTCGCCGACACAAACTACATAATTTTTTATACAAATACGAGTAACTGCATTTTTATGGAGATGCGTACTGAAGGATGGCGCTGCTGAATAGGCGATTGAATGAACATGACACAGGAGGGGCCCACCAAGCAGACTCAACAATGCATAATCATTATAATATAATGTCATCAGAGGCTAGTGGTGTTAATCACACCATGTAAAAGGAATCTTTCTTACGTATCATCGCCAAATTCAATCGTCATTTTGACATCATTATGACGTAAGTCGGACGTCACAGTTTGGTGAGTGAATGACGTCAATACGACGTGAGTAATATGACGACATTGGGCTGTGACTTATTCACGTCATTATCACGTCAATGCGACGTCAACTACTGACGTCACCTTGTTCATTCAAATGACGTAAAAAAGACGTCACTGGCACGTCATCTGGTTGCCTGGGCAAGGCCTAAGCAGAGGCTAGCAACTAGGCGAGACAATAGACAGTTCGAACTTTTGTCTAGCGGTCATTGATGGAGAAGACGCTATTTCAACAAAATTTCAATTCGTCAATATTTCATATTGTATTATTATGACCTATTTCAACATGTGATTACTATTCTTTACTTGAATGTTCGTGTTTTTTTTTCATATATTTATATATTGATATTCATAGTTGATTGATTGATGATTGATTCAAATAATATCAATCTTTGGTAGAAGTCCATATTGCTCAAAGTGGAGTGAAATATCTCACAGGAAGGAAGGAATGCTCGAAGTCATCTCCACAAATTTGTATAGATGACTTCGAGCATTCCTTCTTTCCTGTCAAATAATATGACATGCTAAAAATGTACATCAGTACGTGAAGTGGTGGATGAACTATCTATCCACCTATCTATACTTTTTGTTATCACAAAAAATCTCTGATTCTGAAAAAAATATCGAAAACAGGGTGTTCTATTAAAAAATAATCAATTTGTGGTTTGTCACGTTTGTAGGGATCACCCTGTGAAACTTTATAAGAACGTGAATATAGGAATGGGCCTTCTCGATGAATAACCCTGTTACATAAAGCAAGTGACCCATGTAAATGCAGGTCACTCTCATTTTTTTAAATTCATGGAGCGATTTTCACGAATGCTTTTTCGGAATGTGGAGGAAAATAAGGTGTATTTTGAATCCAAGCGCAGCCCATTTTTCTCAAACCAAAGCCTACTAGATCACATGCAAAGGATGAAAATTCCAAAATCCATACCAGCGGTTTTTTCAGAAAAAATCATCATAATACCACTTGAATTGGCGTCTTCCGCATCCCAAGTTATTGTCTGTTAAAATATGAATAACTTTTTTCTGCTTTTGCAATTTGAGTTCGGATTACACTGTTCGCTAGTCCTTCAGCTATAATCTAGTACTTTTTAAAACATGAAGTTCTTTATATAAAATCGTTACAGGGTGTCACTTGAAACTATGAAGAATTCCGGAATTTTCGAAAGGATCAGGGTTCACGTATATAATGAATTCGAGGCAGGCATAGACGAGGCGAAATGATCGCCATCCAGAGGTGAAAATTTGACTCGATGTAGGATGAACAAAATATATCATTGATATCACATATTCCGTTGCTCTATCCAAGCAAATGATCCGTTCGGAACGAGTTCATTGCTACATCGGAATAAGAAAACTTGTTTGTTGTTTCAAAGATATATTCTCATCAAAATGATCATTATTCCATCAAACCAACAAAATGTTTATAGTTGTATCAACATCGACATTATTTTGGATCGACATAATTTGTTTCTGAGAAAACCCTATATTTTGTTGATGGAATTGATTCAATTGGACTACATTCTTGATTTGAACAAGCTATTTACATGGAATAATCATATATCTGGTTGATTCAACAAAAACTTGCTCAGTCCAACAAAGATAATTCAAGCATAACTAATTTGTTGATGCAACAAATCTTTTTTTTTTTTTTTTTCGTTTAGGTCAGTTTTTCTCAAACTGTTCTGGAAATAGGGAGTAAGGAAAAATGCTTCAACATTTTTTTTTCACTTCAGGTTGGTGGACAACGATATGGCAGAACTGCAGAGGCCAAGAAATATCAACCTGGAAAAGTACAAACAAGTAGTGGGTGATTTGATAATGAACGCGTACGAAAACGATGCCTTGTGATTTGTTCATAAGCTACGCAACAGTTCTTGTAACCCATTGAACTGAAGAAATATGCAATATTTCGGGAAAAAATCGTGTTCCCCAGAACATTGGACCGGTGTTTCTTCCACCCAGTAGATACACTTCAACAAGATACTTTTATCCAGATTCTGACATATGTGATGATTTTTCAACTTTCTGTTATACAGTGTAGAATCTTTGTTATAGCCTATCCTATAGCCCTTATAACTCTCTCCAATTTTTGACAGTAAAAAAATTATATATAGCTTCACGAATCAACAGATACATTTCCATTATCTGCAAAGATATACAGGGAACAGCAAATAGTTCATAAATTTTGGATTAAACACCTTATATATATTTCCTCACCATTGGAATGGTCTCTTGAAGGACTTATATCACTCAATATATTCATCACCTGTATTTCTCAATACCAACTACGTTTGATAGATTTTCTGAATGAATTCCGAGAGTAGACTATTCCATTAGTCTAGTATACAGTCACTCGTGTTATAATATCATTTGATGGTGTAACTCAGGCAATGTAACTGAAATATTTGTGACACAAAAGAAAATCATTCCAAAGATGTTTCGACTGGAATATCAACAAACTTGTAAACCCACCTGTATAAAATAAAAAATAATGTCTTTATACAATCTGTTTATGTATCACTGCCTTCTATATCGACGGTTATCTCGCGTAGTGACGTACCTATCTTAGTTTTCTTAATTTTACTGCAGAGCAGTTCAAAGATTTTCAACATCTTAATTCGCTTATAAGTCACAGGTTTGTTCATGAATGATCATAAGTTCCTCATTTGATAGTGGATGAACTAGAACTAGTTGTTATGATATGGTGAGATTTCGAAAAAGCATCGCCAAAAACGAAAAAAAAATGTTTGTAAGATACGTCACTACGTGAGATCATGTTTGTTAATGTGGCCTTAGATACGCCCATAAATATTGAGTGAATCCAAATGAATAAGGATGAAATAAATATAATTATGTTTATTATCAATAATAAATGATTAACCATTGCTGGAGGCATCCTCGTATATTTGGAAAACTGCTTCCTATCGTGCGTTTCAGCATACAGTAACCTCCTGATATTGAATTGCTTGTCCCTTGGGCGAATCGCAGGCCTTGCCTTCAACAATATCATACCCTACATAATATTTCTTTAATTCATCATAGTTATAATCAGGAATCATAACACAAAAAATATAACCACAAATAATGTTTTGAAGGTTGTAATAATCCAACACACTCAAAGAGTTAAAATGTCAAAATAGTCATTTTGAACATGCGAAATATCAGTTTCTGAATAGAATAAAATAAAAAGATGAAAGACGGGCATCTCTTCATGTTATTCATATTTCTCATTCTTGCTTATTTGGTGTTTAAACGGTTCCATTGGAATGCATACATCGAACTTTGTTATTTTATTTTATTCCATTTCTTATTTCATTTTATTTGCTGTATAAACTAACCTTGAGTCATGTCCTTCAATACTTCAATGTTCTAGTTCCAAATAGAAAGTATATACCATTCTCAGTTCACATAATAATTTTAAGAGAACACTGGAATGTAGGAAAGAAATATAGAAATATATAAAATTGCCAATTCAATATGAGTTGGTTCATGGGAAACGGGAGGAAAAACTACAGATGATCGGTAACCCGCCATACGCAGACTATGCAGGTAACCAAAAAAGCAAAAAATCAGGAAGTGAACTTGTATTCCGGTTGAATGGAGGACCCATTGCATGGTCATGACAGTGTCAGCAGGTAGTAGCCTTGTCTACCACAGAGGCAGAATACATAGCTTTATCTTCTGGTGCTAAAGAGGCTATATGGTTACGATTACTATACTTGAAGAACTAGAAGGGTCCAAGCAATATAAAGCAACTCTACTTATGATCGCCAACCAGGTTGCTATTGAATTAGTAAACAATCCGGAGTTCCATAAAAGAACTAATTACATAGATATTCGATATCACGTTAAGGTGGATCATCATTTATCATTCAACAAGTAGCAATTGGAAGTTGAACTTCCTGTTTTCGATGAAGGTGTTCATGCAGATATTTAACAATTATCAATTAATAAGTAACAAGTGACAAGTTGGCCAACTTTCAACTTCCTTACTTTGATTGAACCAGGTTTTCTTCTAGTGCGCAACTATATAGTACGCAGATGATCGCAGATTGGTTTCATCGACTAGTAGAGAAGGCATAGATTGGTCAGACCAATGTCAGACCTGATTTTTGACAGATGTCATGGAATTTGTTTCAACATAAAACAATTGCAATCAACAGAATAATTATGAAAAAAAGTAACCCAGTCTCTTCCAGATCAGAAAACATCATGAAACTAGAAATTTCAGCTCCTTATGTGATTTGTAAACAACGGATTTGTAAGGTTATTGCTTTGATAGTCCAGATTTAGGGCATGTGCGCTTGCGTACTATTAATCTATTAATTGTTGATTTGGTTTGCATAAATGTCAACATTGTCCTCACTTGTTAATTGATAAATGTTACTTGATAATTGTTGAATGTTGCTGCATGAATCTACCTCAATACGAGATGTGGTAGAGTAAGGACTAGTAAGGAGACATAATCTTGAATTATGTTCCTTCAGAAATGCAGCTGACAGATATATGGACGGAGCTCTTTCAAGAAACAAATTGAACTTCATCAAAGAAAAATTGACAATCATTTGATATCGATGGAAAAGTGGGAGTATTGAAAATGATCTTGATTTATCAGGATTACTTTGATATTATGTTGCTATGTGACGATTTTGTATTTTGTAGTTGTTTCAATAAATATATATCGATCTGATCCTCTTTACCTCAAAACGAATTTTGATGACTGTATTCAGTACAATTGTCAATCACTATGACAACACGATCGACTTCGATTAATTAATATCCGCCGAATATCCCTCGGACATTGACAAATTCCTCAAGCTCGTTGCTTGGTGACAGCCCTCAGCCTTCGGCTTCGTGCTTTCGATTGTCATAAAATTATCTCGTCTATTATCAATGTCCTAGGGATATTACTACATGATTCTTCTCCGGTATATGCTGCTACGAGCACCCATTTTGATGAAGACAACCATGACGGTCCACCAACTATGGAGTACTCACCTATGGAGGACGACGACGGCGATCCACCAATAGTGGAAGACCTACCCCTAACAACACAAGTACTCTCTAGGGACGTCCCTTATTTTATACAAGGTCATCCCAGGGATATCCTTTGTCAGGACAAAGGATATACTAGGGACATCCGCTGGCCAACAAAAAAGGCATACAAGGGATGTCCTCCTGGTACTTTCCTGGGATGTACCAAGTACGAGGAAAGGATATCCCTAGGATGTCCAGGGCATTCCCTTCGACAAAAATAAAGAAATGTAGGTCGAGTAGGGATTGAACCCAGGACCTTTAGCTCATCAGGCACGCACCTCCAACTCCATTGGCCCTCTGAATATTTAAGTACTGAACAGATTTATAAACAGTACCAAACTACAGAAACCTAAATGAATACATTTTTGTTAGGGTTGGGGTATGATTATTATGATTCTTGGATGTTTATAAATGAGGGGCACCACGCATTTACCATTTTCTGTTTGCGAAAAATGGTCATTTCTCAAGAGGTTATGAGACCATATTCTTTATTCTCATAACAATTATTTTCCGGAAGAAAAACAAACATTTTCAAAAAAATTCGACTCAATATTTTGATGAAATTCAATAACTCATGTGAATGGATATCAGATATTCCAGGGACACGAATACGATAACCTAGGGATGCACCGGACGGGATGTCCACTGGACAACCACTGCGGGACATCCCCTGGATGCCCCAATCATGTCCTTTTACCGCACGACCAAAAAGGGACGTACCTAGGACTTCCCTGTGTTGTTCGGGACCCGTCGAAGAGTCCATCGAAAGTGACGGCACAGGACCATAAAAAGCATGGCGACGATTTTGACTATATTTGATCGAATGATTGATCACTGTTATTTTGATGACTTATATATTATTATATACAGGGTGATTCACATAAGAACCGACATAGAGCAGGGGCATAAAGGGTGTCCCAAAATATGGAAATTTGACGCAACTTACCTCTTTACCAAGTTGCTTCCCTAAGGAGATATAGGCTTTGAAAGTGAAGTGATAAATTTTGAAAAAAATCAATATCTCCGTTATTCTTGAACTTAAAGCAACCAAATTTGGTACACTTCGTGGTTGAATTTAGGGCGTTACTTGACAGTAACTAGAGTTTGATTGAAATTTGTAAAGGGGGTATACCAGGTGGCGCACCATTAATATTCAACATAATTTTGTTAACCCATGATGGATTTCGAAAATCTTTGCTCTGTTTTGTGGGCAATTGAATTCTCTTTTTTCACTCTAGTAATTTTTCAAAAAACCTCATCATTTTCATCAAAAACTCGAATAACTGAAAACGCGCGCTCTAGGTGTGTTATTTAAAATCATCGAAAATTCAAAAGTTGGCTATGAAAATAAACGTCAAACTTGACGATGAGGCAAGTGAGTTGTTCAATTAAGTAATTGTTGTTTGAGTGTTTTCAAAATGAACGGGAAGTTTTCTTTTAACGAGCAAGTTGAGATGCTGTTAGTGCTATGCCTAATAACTCCTTAGGGAAGCATCTTGGTATAGAGGTGAGTTGCGTTAAATTTCCATATTTTGAGACCCCCTACATGCCCCTGCCCTATGTCGGTTGTTATGTGAATCACCCTGTATATTTCATGTTTATTTTCGCATAACCACATCAAAACACCTTAAAACCAAAGATAGGATTAGTTTTGGATCATTTTTCATTCAAGTTTACGAGGCCTGAAGAACATGTGTGAGTTGAATTAAAATCTGATGAAATTGCCTACAACTCTTATTTCATGAGTTCTACTAGCAGGTTCAATGGTTTAGCCGGATTTTGGTCTAAAGAAGGTATAAAACTGAAATTTCCACTTCCTGAAAAAAATTGCCAATATTCATTGTGCCGTAGTTTCGTTAGTGATTGATCTTCTGAGCTTCGGTGAGCCTTGAATTGTTGAACATTCAATATTCCTCAAAGACGTATATAATAGCTACCGTCTAAAAATGCACAGTTCAGGGGATATAGAGCACAAACTGAAGAAAATACGAAAACGTTCGCGGTTTTTCGTGTGCTATACTTCACCCACAACTTCTAGAGAGTTGCAAACTTGAGTATACTCATTCTTATATGCGTGATTCATAAAATTAGAAATCTGATTGTCTCTATTCACTTTGAGATTTTTTATTCTTTGGAAATTATTACTTGATGGAAAATAGTCGATGATCTTTATCAATCTACCCAACTGAAAGTTGATCGAGATCACACCTCGGATTAAACTGATCGTAATAAAACGCAACATATTCGTATAAGATAATCTTTTATTCGAGCCTAATATCCATAATACAATTTGTTCTGAAAGCATTGTGTGTTTTCGAAGTTCAACATTCATATTCCGGCGAAAACCTGAGTAACCTATCAATTTCGTTTCATCATCAGAATATCAATCACATAGATCGGGAGAAACAATAAATACAAAGTTGTTATAGTATTTCCAAAGTCAATTGCAAAAGCTCCAACAAGAAGCATTCGACGCGCGATGGCAGTACCTCTGAGATTCAAATGGATCTGCTGCTCAAGGAGAACCTTTTTTGTCAAACTTTCGCGAGACTTTATGCAATGTTTTCTTTATTTTCGACGAGGTGTTGCTCTGTGTAACATGGACCTATGTGATCAAATTCGGATGTCAAAGAGTGATTTACAATTTTCAAATCACTGGAAACAAATTCTCACACTAAATTCCTCAATTTTTGGGTGTACGACCTAGTGCATGAGGTGCATTTGCAATTCCTACAAATAGAATATCAGATCAGTACAATATATCTTACACTCTGGCTGCCGGAACCCGGAACCCTGTTGTTCTCTCCCTATTACAGGCTTTGTCAGTCATATGTGATCGACGGTGACTTATAAAAAACGGTGCTTGGCAGTGATTTTTAACCGACAGTAGAAGTTTTAGTTCGAGCCGTGTCATGCGAAAACGGCCGACGATGCATTCAAATCTCCATTAGATCTGAATGCGCGGCGCTCAAATGAACGTATGTCATTTTTTTTGTGGTGCTCACTATGAAATTTATACCTACAATGATGCCTCAAAAACGTTTATTGTATAAAATGTGAAATAACTCATGAATTATATATCTGAATCTAATTATTGTTGGAATGGGTTTTCACATGACATTAAATTCATGGAAGGCATCTCTTGGCAGCCTTCTCAATGCGTCTGCACTCTCTTCACCTCATTTTAAGCCCCAATTGTTTCACGAGATTTTTGTAACAAATTGAGCAATTTTTCTAGCTTTCCGAGTTTTATCCTTGCTGTTATGTTTCAACCCCTGTGAGGTTATCGATAATTTAATAACAAATAGGAGTATATCATGCACTATTACTCATATACATTGATCACTTAGATGCCCCCTACTCTGGAAATTTCGCGTGGCCTGACCCGTTCGATCCAATGAAACTGCATCAGCTCAACACGAGATCAAGCTGTCGGTCAAAAATGACTGACATGGCAGTCAGAGTGTTGAACTTGATGGTTATCACTTGTGTTTTTGATATCGATTCCCGAAGTACACTAAGAACTACAACTAGGTATTCACACGACTTGTATTTATATTTGTAGACTTATTCAAAATTTGATCAGAATGACTACCCAATACGAAAACACTAAATTATGGTGTGTCTCAAGAGGTTGACTAGCCTTCACAGTGCTTTGTCATCCATAAGACACACAGAAAATATTCTCAAAATGAAAAATATATCACAATGAAATCAGAATGTATCATACGGCGGTGTACCAAATGTTTTATAAATTCTGTCGTAGAATTCCATCTGATTCCTGAATGGATTTTCCAACAATTCCATATTTGCATCGATATTCATGTAATATAAGTGATCCAGTTCTACAGGCAGCCATGTTTCATCCAGGAGAAGCTCATCTATGGTTGGTGTAGGATTACTGAAAATATATTATGATAATTTAATAACGAAATCGTAGTTAGATACAGACATATGACTAGAGTTACGGATAGAGTTACACTTAAAGCCGATCGTATAATAAGCAACTTATGTCTCAGCTGATGAATTAGTAGAAATAATTGCTCATTAACTCTAGTCCATACACGGTTAGAGTTACAGAAGTAGTAACAGTTGAAAGGAGTTACAGAGTTAGCTTCACTGTTATATTTTTAAATAAATAGTTGCGGTTGTATCTAAATATTGAATCAAAGAAGATTTTGGGCAAAACAATTTACTTAAAAAAATGTATGAAGGTATCAGACAGTGTTAAACAGAACCGTAGAAAGAGGTATCTACTAGGGGGAAGATGTGTACTAGTTGCATACACGTAAGTGATCAATAAAATGGGGAGATTTTGTATTTCGTGAAGAATTTATTATAAATTCGCAAAGAGCTTTCGGCTAAAAAGCCATTATCATTGATATACCTGCAAGTAAGTAACATTGATGAAATTTCGTAAAGACGAATCAGAAGGTGTAGATTACTTACTAGTCAAGTATTCATAAAAAGGTCTGCCGAATATCTGACATACAGAAACTGAGTTTCAATGTACATGACTGAGTTAACATGAATATGAAGTTGACAAGTGACATAGTGACCACAGCGCGTGAGAAAAAATTGACAAGGTGAGCAAATCAAATGTCTGAAATTTCGGAAAATAAAATAAGAACAAATGGACTTCATTCCAGGCCAAAGAGTAACAACCTTTGTAGTAACAATTGGGAGAAAAGATTTCCAATCAAGACTTCAGAGTCCTGGTGTTCAAGCTGAGAGTTCAAGGAAAATACCTGTAGTTGAACGCCTCATAAGAAGCAAACATACCACCAGACTACCTCCCGACTTAGAGCGAATAACGAACTCAAGTCCCAAATGTAAGCCGGATCCTGATTGCAATTTTGTTGTGATGGCTGAAAATTGAAGAGCAAGACTTTCATTTCGGACTTAAAATTCTTAGTGTTCGTGCCAAAGGTCCAAGGATGCCCAACTCAAGTTGCAAATCTCAAAGAGACTGACAACATCAGCTGAGCCTCCCTACCTCAAGCGTAGACCAGACTCAAGTCCGAAAAGTAAGTCAGATTTTGACTTGGTGAAGCCGAAATTTGGAACAGTGCTGTGTATTAGTTATGATGGTTATCATCATGGAGAAGTACTTGTTATTTCAAACGTCTATGTGAAGGAATGTAATATCAATTACATTGTACTTGTGTGTTCAAATAAAGGTTCTTGTTTCGTAGTTCTTTTTCGATTTCTAAATCCTCCAAAGAATCTAGTCTATCGTAGTTTTTTGAATTAACATCTTGAAAAATTTCCGATTTACGATTGGGACTGAATTTATATGTTTGATGAATTTGATGTGATGGCCAAATGCTGAAAATTCTGTTTTATTCAAATGTTCTCCTATACGAACATTCAAAGGTCTACAAGTTCTCCCTATGTATGAAGCTTCACAATTGTTACAATTCAATTTGTGAATCCCACTATTAGATAATTTATTGATTTTATCTTCAGAATTAACCAAATGTTTACTAAACTATTAGTACTTTCGAAAGAGATTTTAGTGTTTGTCAACTTATTTTTGATGATACTTGGAACTTTTTGAGAAATGTTTCCATTCGTGAAAGGTAGGGATACATATCCAAAAACTTCTTTTCTAAGATAAGTGAGATCATGTTCTCTCTTGTGTTTGATTTTTTAAATTAGCTTTGGGATCAAATTTGGGTTGTAACCATTATTACATGCTATTCGTTTTATTGTATTCAGTTTTTCATTGTATTCAGTTTATAGTATTTACGAGGAACAGTTTACTTACCCGACTTTCGCAAAATTGCTCCACATTTTGACCATTCTCTTCCTCATCACATTATCGGTATCTGGGACATCTGTATAATATTGTCTGAAAAGGTATCCTAACTCTTCTGTATGTCCAACTCCTGCAAAAATTCTTAGTGAGAAGATTTATAACAGGTGAGATTGAATTCGTTTGGATTCAAATGCTTCACTGTTAGGGTATACATGAACAGATCCCCTCAAAATCCTCAAATACCTGAAAGAATTGAAGCTTGAGGGGGCTGCTATAAACAAGAAAACTTTGAGATAGCAGAAGAAGATGGGGCAAAATAGATCTAATCAAGTCGCAGCGCATTCGAGAATATCATAATTCTTGGAGATTTCAATACAGATTTTTTGAAGGAAACACGTGATGAAACGATACTCACAAACTGTCTTAACTCATATAACATGAAGTATCTAATACTGGAGCCAACGCGGGTAACAGAAAAATCAGCTACATGTCTGGATAATGTGTTAATAAATTTCAACCAATACAAACGAGCAAATGTCATTAAAGAAAACATATCTGATCATTATGGGGTAGATATACATTTGGAGGTAATAAATAGGGAAACTGTAAGATAAGAGACTTTTTGTCGACCAATTACATAGTTAGGTATAGGTATAGTTAGAAATATCATCAACCATATAAATTGGACTGAATATTATAGGTCAAATGACGAACAGTTTCTGGCAAAGTTTTATGTGAAGAATTAAAATATGCAGTGGATGTGGCCTTTTCACAGAAGATGATAAAAGATGAAAACATCAAAATAAATTGGTTTGATAGCAAATTGGAACAAATGAGAATTGATCTTAAAAATAAGAAAAATCTGTGGATGACAACAGGTGATACATGTCTGAAAAGGGAGTATAATAAGTTCAAATGTAAATATAAGAAAGCTAAAGTCAAACTCATGTAACAATTTGATTTTGATGAGTGACATTGTCAGTAAAACCACATGGTCTATCATAAACAATTTTAACCAAAAATCTGATAAAACTTTAAAAAACAGTAAATTAACAGCGAATGAATTAAATAATTTCTCTGCCGAAATAATCGATAGATTAATTGCAAAACTTCCTTCATCATGTAAAAATGGGTCAGATCTTTCGAATATATCTATAGTAAATGCTCAGTATTCTTAAGACCAACAAATGCAACAGAAGTCTCCAGCGTGATTTCTCCACTTGAAAACTCCAAAAGCATGGACCCTTACAATATTTGTCCAACAATGATAAAGATTGTTGATGATTTGATAACTGAATCCATAATTCATTTAATAAATATCTGTTTCTCGAATGGAGAATTTCCAGCTTTTTCAAAGCTCTGCAGAGCCACACCAATCCACAAACAAGGTGATATAAATGACTGTAATAATTACAGGTTCATTACTATAACGCCTGTATTGTCTAAAATCATTTTAAAAGAGAGGCTTATAAATTATCTAGAAGGAGGAGGATACATTAGTGAAAGGCAATATGGATTCAGAAAGTTGCATTCAACCACACAAGCTGTAACAGACATTATACATATAGTAGCAAAAAATAAAGACTTGGGTATAGAAACCAGACCTATGTTATGCGACCTATCGAAAGCTTTCGATAGTGTATGCCATGACATGCTTCTAAATAAGTTAGAAAAATATGGGATAAGAGGTTCAGCAATAAACTTGCTGAAATCATTCTTAACTGGTAGAAGGCAATATATTGTTCACAATGATATTACATCTGATATACAGTTGATCAAACATGGTGTTCCCCAAGGTTCGGTGTTGGGTCCGCTGCTGTTCATTTTATACATAAATGATCTACCATTATATGTGGACAAAGCGGATACTTTTCTTTACGCAGATGACGCAACATTTATAATCAAAGCAACAAATACTACTACTACATTTGAAGAGCAATCAAATGAAAAACAAGAAAAATATGAACAATACTTCAATGCCAATGTATTATGTCTGAATAAAGACAAGACCAAAATTATAGATTTCAACAAAAGAACGAATGATGATAACGAAAATAATGTGCGTTCACTGGGTTTTCATATAGACAGCAATCTCAGCTGGAAAACACAAATTACAGAAATGAATAAGAAAATGTCCAAAGGTCGTTTTGCTCTGAGGAGATTGAGGAGCGTGGTGAGCAAAGATAATCTTAAAATAGCCTATTTCGGTCTGATACAAAGTCATTTACAATATGGGATATTATTATGAGGTTCGGCAT